AAAGGCAGGAAAATAATTGAATGAAACCCAGGAAAAAGGGAAAAGAGAATGAAAGGTAAAGGCAGGAAAATAATTGAATGAAACACAGGAAAAAGGGAAAAGAGAATGAAAGGCAAAGGTAGGAAAAAAATAAAATGAAACACAAGAAAAAGAGAAAAGAGAATGAAAGGTAAAGGCAAAAGCAGGAAAATGAAGCAGTTGGTGTGTTTGAATAAGGCAAATGAACAAAACCACTTCCCACTCCTCACATGGGATTTTTTTTATCCCCACTGCTTGATGGATTGTTTAAAAAAGGAGGAGACATTCAGGATTTTGGAGGGACCATGGAACTACAAACTCCCCCTGCCTTGCATGGGCCGGGAGAGGGGAGAAGCTGCACAGTGATGTGTCCAGTTACTAAGTGTTATTACAGGGACATAAATGGATTTATCCATGGATTTGGCCCATGGGCTGCTCATCATCTCCATGGAACTTCCTGGAGATCCCATGGAGGGATCCCAGCCCTGAAGCCCTGGGTGTGCAGAAGACCCTTCACTGGGCAAATCATTCAACTCAACCTCCTGTTCCAGCACCTGTTTGTTTTTTTCCCAGAGGGAAAAGGCCAATATTCATGTTTTTGAGGTGCTTGGAAAGCAAGGACAACCTTTTCTGGGTGCTTTAAATTTCTCCTGGAGGTTCTTGTTCTCTCTCTCCCATCCAAGGTGTCTTTGGGCATCAACTCCTGATGCTGAGCTGGGCACTAACAACAAGTTACCTGATCCCTGAGATTCTCAGGAGGGAACTTTTCAGATCCCTAGTTTCTGGAAGGCCTGGGAATGGGATTCTTCACCTCTTCAATCAGTCCAACACCCACCAGGACCCCGGGGATTTACAGATTCCCCTGAACCTCATTGGACAGATGCCCACAAGCCCCAGGAAGCCAAACCAAGCAGCCCTTGGGCTCTCACAGGTATCTTGGGAAAAGCAGAGGAAATTCATAAATTCAGTAACTTCCTGCATCATGGAAAGGCAAAATTTGGTGGTTTCCCACATCTGAGTGCAAAGGAAGGACATGTTGTCCACCTTCTTTGTTGTTTGTTGCACCTTCTGTGGTGGAAGGACAATATGGAGAGTGATAATTTCCTACTCTCCATCAGCCAAAGCTCCTCTTGGGTCCTTTTTCTCTATACAAAAGCCAGTTGATGCCCCCAAATCCCAGCAGAAATCTTGGATGAGTCTTGATCAACATGAACCAAGCTCAGATCCTCAACCTTTGAACCCTTGAGGTCAAACAAGCCTGAAGTTTGGTCCAAAGGAAGAGCAACAATGAGGAAAACTGGGAAAACACCAAAGCAGGACTCAGGATTGGGATCACAATCCCAACCTTCTCCTGAGCATCCTGAAAGTTTCCCACCAGGGTGGTTTGCACCATGTTCCATGTGGGACATGGCAAATATCCAAAAAGGCAGAGATGGGACATGTCAACACATTCCCTCTTCCCAAATTTCAGGGCACTGTCACCTCCTCACATCAACGGTGCCAACACTTTTCCCCCTTGGATCAGCAATTCAGGGACAACACTCTCACTCCACTTTCTCCTGGCAGCTGCTGGGGATGAAGCTGTTCCTGGGCTGACAGCTCCTGGCAACACAGATGGAACTTCATCCCCTCCAAAACTTGACAGAATCAGATCTGATTTATATTTAAAACTCGTGAGCAGATGGGATGAACGAGGTTCTGCATATGAAGAGCCTTTAATGGCACGACAGAGCTGCCTCAACAGCACTTGAGATTCATCAGGGCTCAGAAATCCTCGTTGCCAGCCCTGCTTTTGCTCCCCATCCTTCCCAATTAAGAGCTTCCCGTTGGCAGGTTAATGGAGAACCCAACAGGGGCTCCTCTAATGGGCTCTCAATGTCCTGCCTCCATTGTGGCACTTTTCCCCCATTCCTGTGCCTGTTGTGTTTCCTGGTGGCAGCACAGCAGAATTCCAGGGCTCATTTGAGTATTTTTAATGGAATCACTTTAGAAAAGTCGGGAATCACAGCCAGGATTGAGCACAAACTACTCCCCCACCTCAGTTTCTCATCTGGACCATCTGAGAGCTCGAGAGCAAAATCCGTCCTTTGAAAAATTAACGTGTTTCCCCAACAGCTTCTGCTTTTTCCAACCACTTCCTACCTTTTGTTTCAAGCAGAAACACAGCAAAACAGGAAATCATTTCATTCCCATTTAAATAAAACCCCATATCCAGAGAGCATCAGCAAACCCCTCCAGCAGCGAACCCAACATTAATCCAACAAAAAGAAAGACTTTGCTTGTGAGCCTTGAAATGAAGCAGAAAAAGGATCAAATCAGCACTAAATCAGCACCAAAATAATTCTGGGAAGATCTGAGAGAGAGATTCCCCTCCTGGCCAGCACAGTTGTGACAGTGTTGTAAAAAGAGTCCCAACCACAACCCCGAATTTCTCTCCATGTTAATTGTCTGTGATGAAAAGCTTCATTACCTGGCAAGTCAGTTGGATCCTCAGACATCGTTACTGGATTTCCTGAGGCAAACACAACTAAATTTACCATTATACTTCATTTTGGTGAATATTTCTGCTCTGTTTGAGCAGAGCCGTGAAAACAAACAGAGGAGGATTTGCTCTGCTCACATAGGCATGATTTGCTCTCAGAGGCTGTGATTTGATCAGTAATTAGATTTCAGGAGTGTTCTGAGTCACCCACCACAGTCATAAACTGTTCATTTGCCCAAGGACGCTCTGTGACAATTTTCCTACCCGGGTCACAATTTTGGATCTAAATGAAGGGGAAAAATAACTAAAAGTGAATTATTTTCCTCCTCCAGCAGAGTGAAAAAAGCCAGGAGAGTTCTGATGGAATCCACCATGTACCTGTGGGAGCAACAGGGAGCAAACGATGCCCAAAGTGGCCTCAAAGTTGTCCTTGAGCCAGAGCCCCACGGCGTGGATACAACCCCGGACGTGGATGATGCTGAGCAGCTCCAAGCGCTGGAAAAAGGGGGAGAAAAACATCATGGTCACCCCCAAAGGCATCAAAATCAGCTTCTCTCCCACCACCAAAGCTCCAAACACAGTTCAGGACCAGCATCTCCAGGTCCTGGTCCAGACAAGGCCCAGCAAACCCTGCAGGGATGTCATGGTTCAGGAATGTCCAAGGGAATACCCTGAGAAACACCCCAAAATTGCAGGGGAAAGCAATAATACGGAATTTATACTCAGCTGGTACCTCCAGACTGTTCCAACTGGATTTTTTTAGGGGATCTGGGGAAGAGGAAGCAGCAAATCTCTTATAGAGTCCAAAAAGTCACCTCTTTGTTGAGTGTCCTGTACCCACAGAGGGTGTTCACGACCTCTCCAGGGGCCTGTGGAGAGAGAAAGTTGAACAAACTCATCCCAGAGCAACAAAAGTATACAAAGAAATACAAGAAATAAGAATTAAAAACAAGAAACAGAAGAGCTGCCCCATCTGGGACTATTCAGAGCAGCAAAAGTCGAGCAGACACCAACCCTCACACCTCACGTTGTCACCTCAGGGCCCTTTTTTGCCCAAAGGTGATGCTTGAACTGGAAATTTTGGCAGAAAGTTGTTGGGGTATCTTAATTATATTTTTTCAACCCCTTTTCTCTCTGTTTTCTGCTGTTCTGGAGGATGTTCAGGCCCCCAAACCCTCTCGCAGTGATTTAAACCATGACCATCTCCACATCCTGGGGGCTCCTGTAAAGCAGCTCTTTCCCAGCATTCCCTGGACTTTCACCTCCAGTCGTGTGTCTCCTTCAGAATAAACGGAATTTCACAGGGATTGAAGGTATTGGGCTCTCCAGAAATCAAGACTTTGGGAATTTCCCTGAAGGCTTCCATCACTTTGTAGAGAAACATACGGTTTTTAGACATCCCCAGGGCTGAGATCTTCAGTGGCCAAATAAAATGTTTCAAGAGCTGCAGCTAAAGGGAGACTTCCCACTGCCAGAGGGTGGCGTTGGATGGGATGTTGGGAAGGAATTCCTCCCTTGGAGGATGGTAAAGGGGTGGGATGGAATTCCCAGAGAAGCTGTGGCTGCCCCTGGATCCCTGGAAGTGTCCAAGGCCAGGCTGGAGCAATCTGGACTACTGGAAGGTGTCCCTGCCCATGGCAGGGAGTGGTATTGGGTGATCTTCAAGGTCCCTTCCAACCCCAACCATTCCATGATGTCAGAGGTTTGAAAAGAGATGCTGGAATTGTGTTTTTCTTCCCCAGGGTTCCTGTCCCCCCCCATCTGTTTGTTGCAGGATGGGGGGTCAGGGAGGAGGTGGGTTGGAGTGGGGACAGGGGGAGGGCTCAGGGACAGCACGGTGGCCGCAGGGACAGCGGGGACTCCCTGGTTTGGGGGCTGTTGGGTTTGGGCCAGGACCAGACAGAGCAGGAGCCCCAGTTTTGGCTGCCTTTGTCTTTTCCTGAGGGGAAGTCTTTTTTCCCCACGGGACACCTTGTGGAGAAGACCAAGAGAGAGAGACCGACCCAGCTCAGAGCGAGGTGTTTATTCTGCCTTCGCACTCCCTGGGGAAAAAGGGATTGTCCCAGTTAGAACAGCTGGGGCCAGTTCATCACTGGATGGGTGTAACCCAAAACTGTGGATTCCAGAGCCTTCCAGGCCACTGCCCACAAACTGTTCTCAACAGACCATTGACACCCTCTGCCCAGAGCAGCCCTGAGCCCTCAGGCTGGAAACTGGGTGTTCAGAGGCCTGGGAGATAGGAGGGTGCTCCTGTCCTCACCCCCAGGGTGGAACTCCCCGCCCTGAGGGAGGGACTGGGCATTCCTGCCTCAACTGGAGGAGAGACAATCTTGGGCTCTTGGGACTTTTTTAACCACCCATGGGATCCAGAGGAAGGCTGCAGAACACCACTCTCAACCAGACTGAGCCCACCACTCTTGCCCAGACTGCACCAGCCTCTCACCAACAGGTTTTTCCCTCTCCTTTTCCTTTGGACTCAGGGGGCCCAACGAACCCCACTCTGTTCCTGCCCCAGGGTGCTGGGTTCTACATTTGGGGTTTGTGGGTTAAAACCAACTGTTTGTCTGCATAATCGTATTTATTGTATTATTTTATTATTTTCTTAAATTGTTCTTCTGACTTATAATCTCTCCTTTGAGTTGAGTTCATTTCCCCTGCTGGTTTACCTTTAAACCAGCCCAGGGATTCCTTCAGTGCTGGCTGTGGGCATAGGGGGCTGTGAGAGCTTTGAACTGGGACAGTCCTGCCTCCCCCCCAGCCCCGGGTTGCCGCGGGTTTCTCCCCCAACCTGGGCAACTGGGACTTTGTTTTGTTTCTTCTGAAAGTTTTTGATGGCGCCATTTGTTGTTCATTCAGATTTTTGTTAATAAAAAGCTGTCTCTTTTCCTTTTCCACACTTCCACCTGAAGTCTCTTAATTCCTGAGTTGTAATCTTGTTAAACTAAGACACGGGATTATTCCTTCCCCTCTGTATTAATCACCTGGGATTTTTCTCTCTCTGCTCTGCCAAGGTCTTTTCTTGGCCAAATTCTCACCCAAAACTGTGGGGAGTGTAAAAATACCCCAAAATCCGCTTGGATTTCTTCAACACATCCCCACTTGTACCACAAAAGGACAACCCACGAATTTCTAATTCCACCTCCAGGAGCTTTAGGATTCTTAATCAACACCCTGATTAGAGCTGACAATTATTTTTGCAGCTGATTTGCATGTCAGACTTCCAGTGATAATTAAACCACTTCACATTTCACCCTTTTCCCCACTAAAAACCCCACAACAATACAAGGTTGATGATAAATTCTCCTTATTAAATCCTTGGGGCACAGCCAAGGCTGGGAGCCAGTGCTGATCCTCCCAGTGCTCTGAACCTCCAGGAGGTTTTGCCACCAGGATGAAGCTCAGCAAATCCTTGTTTGGAAGTTTATAGCACTGCTGGTACAGCAACCAGGGATATTTGTGCTATTTTTTGGCCCAGCTCCTGGGATTTTATCCCCACATGTGTTGGATTGATGACAATGAGGAGCAGGGTTGGATTAAATGGTCTGTGTCAGCACTGAGCTCAGGCTCAGCAGAAAAGCTCTGCCTGGAGGGGGATGTCTTGATTCCCAGCTCTGTGAATCAGCTCAGGAGAACCTCCTGGCTCTGCAAATCCACTCCCCTCTGGAGTCCAGCCCCATCCAACCCAACAGGTTGGAAATGCCACCTTCCAGGGGCGGTTGCTCCTGGGATTTCTCTCATTCCACTGCACAAAGGTGGCTCTTTGTGCAAACACAGCCCCATTTCCAGGAAAATCCTCAAAAATCTCCTCCCCAGGAGCAGATGAACACCCCCAACACACCCCTAAACCCCTCAGTGGCTGAGAAATGTATTGGACAGGAGAGGACCAGAGTGCACCCAGATCCACGCTGGGATGCAGCCAAGTCATGGAGTCATGGAATGGTTTGGGTTGGAAGGACCTTGAAGCTCATCCAGTGCCACCCCCTGCCATGGGCAGGGACACCTTCCACCAGCCCAGGTTGCTCCAACCTGTCCTTGGACACTTCCAGGGATCCAGGGGCAGCCACAGCTTCTCTGGGCAACCTGTGCCAGGGCCTCCCCACCCTCCCAGGGAAGAGTTTCTTCCCAATATCCACCTAAACCAGCACACAGAATCATGGAATCGTTTGGGTTGGGAGGGAACTTAAAGCTCATCCAGTGCCACCCCTGCCATGGGCAGGGAACCTTCCACTAGCCCAGGTTCCAACCTGGCCTTGGACACTTCCAGGGATGGGGCAGCCACAGCTTCTCTGGGAATTCCATCCCATCCCCTCCCCACCCTCACAGCCAACAATTCCTTCCCAAAATCCCATCTAAATCCCCACTTTTCCAGTGGGAAGCCATTCCCCCTTATCCTGTCCCTCCATCCCTTGTCCCAAGTCCCTTTCCAGCTCTTGGAGCCCCTTTAGGCCCTGGAAGGGGCTCTCAGGTCTCCCTGGAACCTTCTCCAGGCAGAGCAACCCCCAAGTCCTATGTTGCTGCTATTGTTTTAAAAACAATCCTCCAAACCATTTTATGTCACAGAGTTGAAAATCTTGGCATTTACAACAACTCCTTGGATGATACAAACAGAAACAAGCCTAGGACTTTGCTCTACATTAAAACAGCAGAGTAAAATACAACAAAAACAGTCCATAAATATATACATTTTCTAGTTTCTTTATCATCTCACACTGATGTTGTGTCAAGCTGAAAATGCAATTTAGAAGAAATCCTTCAGTGCAGAAATATGCAGTGATAACCAGCTGGAAAAGGATTTTTTTATGGAATACTGAGTGAAATAAAGGCATTTTCTGTGCCTTGTCTGCCTTACCTTCCTGATGCAGCACGTGTAGGGCACCCCACAGGCCAGGGGCCCACTGCTGTTACAGGAGTGGTACTGGTTGACCCCCCAGTCTCGATATTCATCCCCACCACAGCAGGAAAACTGCACAGAGAGGAAAAGGAGAGGGTGAGAGGGGCAGCTGAACCAGCATTTCCAGGGCCATGTCCTGCCAGGTCAAGGGGGAGTGGATTTAACCTGAAAGAGGGCAGGGATAGGTGGGATATTGGGAAGGAATTGTTGGCTGTGAGGGTGGGGAGGGGCTGGGATGGAATTCCCAGAGAAGCTGTGGCTGCCCCAGCCCTGGAAGTGTCCAGTGTAAGGTTGGAACCTGGATTAGTGGAAGGTGACTGACCCTGCCCGTTGCTGGGGGTGGAATTGGATGGGCTTTGAGTTCCTTTCCAACGCAAACCATTCCATGATTCTTTGTGCTGATTGAGATGGGATATTGGGAAGGAATTCTCCCCTGGGAGGGTGGGGAGGCCCTGGCACAGGTTGCCCAGAGAAGCTGTGGCTGCCCCTGGATCCCTGGAAGTGTCCCAGGCTGGGTTGGAGCAACGTGGTCTGTGGAAGGTGTCCCTGCCCAGGGCAGGGGGTGGAATGGGCTGAGCTTTAAGATCCCATCCAACCCAACCCATTCCAGAACTCCACCTCCAACACATCCCCCTCCAGCCCTTCCCTGCAATCTCCATCCCCAGCTTTGACAGCCCCAATTATTTCCTGCTCTCAGGACCCCAAATGGGAAGCTGAAGACCCCCTGTAAAAGCAGCAGAGTGGGTGTTAAGCCCTGCTCAGCCCTGGTTTAGAGGCTGTGGCAGTTCCAGGTGGATCCCCAGTGTTGGAGTCAGCCTTGCTTGGAGCCCAGCAAAGCTCAGGCTCATTCAAACCCGACTGATTTAATTCCAGGTGACTAATCCAGCCCATTCCTGAGGGGAGATGGCTCTTCCAGCCCCTGAATGAACAGATTTCTTGGCTCTTGAAGGCAGCTCAGTTGGTGCCATTCAATGCTAATAAGGCTCCAAAGTCTAACAGGGATTTCTCCTCCTGTCAAGTTAAATTAGAGATCAAATGCTGCAGCTACAAAGGGAAAAGAGCTGCTTTTTTCTTCTCTTCCCACAATGAAGGCAAAAAAAAGAAGTTTAATGAAAGTCATTCTCTGTTCTCCACAGAATAAAAATGGGTTTGTCACAAAGCAAATCATCCCTTCTTGTGGCAAACAAATTTGAATCTTTACATTTTTCCCCCAGAAAGAAAAGCCTGGAGAGGCAGGAGAGGGAAGGGGGTGTTTGGTAAGAGATAAAAAACCCAGGTTTTCTCCATTTTTAAGCATCAACCCCTTCAAGGAGCAGTTTTTGCAGAGGCTTAACCCTCTGAGTATCTGCTCCCCCGAGGGGTAATTCTTGGGCAAAGGGAGAAGCCACAGCTCTGGGGGTTCTCCCACCCCAAAATGGGCAAACATAGCAAGGAGCAGCCAAAACACAGATTAGCAACTAATTTCTGACTTCCTACCTCTAATTCCTCTGTTGTTTTTAATCCCACCTGTGTCAGTGAGGGAGAGCAGCTCCCAAAATGTGCTTGGAAAGAGGGGAGAAAACACCCAAAAGGATATTGGTGGGCTTGATACCCCAATGCTGCAAAGTTTTTTTTTCCATTTTCTTTTTTAATTGTACAGAACTTGGTATAAAATCCTTCAAACAAATTGCCAGGAAGCCTCACTGGGGTGTTTCCTCCTCTGCAAAAAGAGGTTTAGCCCAAACTCCTGTTGTGCCTCGTGCTGATGGGCTGGTGGTGGCAACACTTGGCCAAAGAGAGGAGAAAAAGCCACAGCTCTGGGGGTCCTCCCACCCCAAAATGGGCAAACACGGCCAGGAGCAGCCAAAACCCAATTTACAGCTCATTTCTGACTCCCTACCTCTAATTCCTCTGTTGTTTTTAATCCCACCTGTGTCAGTGAGGGAGAGCAGCTCCCAAAAAGTGCTTGGAAAAAGGGGAGAAAACACCCAAAGGGATCTTGGACATTTTGATACCCCCATGTTGCAACTTTTTTTCCCATTTGTTTTTATAATTGTGCAAAAAATTGCTACAAACAAGTTGCCAGGAAGTCTCGCTCGGGTGTTTTCTCCCCTGCAAAAAGAGGTTTAGCCCAAACTCTCGTTGTGCCTGGGTTTATTTCTAACAAGGTGGGCCAGCCTTCAGGTGGGTTTGACTTTCATGTGGGTTCCTGCAGCTCAGAGAGGAATAACAGGTGGAAAAACCAAAGGGAGAACATGGAAAGAGCCTTCCAGGTCCCACCTGAGCAGCTCTGAGTGTTCAAAACTGCCTCCACTACCTGAAAAATGAGGAGTTTTTCCAGCTCTAGTATCCCCCTGGAAGGAGCCCCACTGGGGGAGCTGCCTTTAATCCTTCTCAGAAGAAGGGAGGAAGTTTATAAGCACAACATCTCATCTCTCTGAGCTTTACTTTGAGTTTGGGCAAGAACTGAAGCTCTGGCAGCTCTTTGAAATTCAAATCAAACTTTCCTCTTCCCCTCGTATCAGCAAACCACTAAAAAATGATCAGAGGAGGAGAACTGAGAGAGTGACTGGCACCAAACCTGGTTGGATCTGCTTTTAAGAGAAGCAGAGTCGATGTTATGGCACCTGAGCAGCCCAGTTTACTCTGAGAGGATGAAAACTTGGTGTCAGCACGGAGGGATCACCTCCAGACCTGCTTTTTTGGATAAAACACAAGCCCAGAGCAGCCTGTGACCATCATTTACTGTTAATTCTTGCCCTCTGCCTCACTAAAACCCTGGGCTAAGCTCAGCTTTGCTGGCACACGGCTTAGTTAGGTCAGGCAGAACCCCCCCAGCTCCTTAGGATTTGAGTTTGGCTTGAACCCTCTCTCAAGTCATATTAATTTTTAAGGCAAATTTGTTCCCATTTCCACTTGCTCACAGGCAGCCACACCCAGGAGGTGACAACAGGTGAATCCACATTATTTGCACCATCACCCTGGCAATGAAACATTGCAATTCCTGGCACTTAAAACCAATATTTATATGTTTTTCTCACTCTTCTTTGCTGAACTCCTGCCCTTTGCAGCCCTGGGATGTGAGACTGGAGACCACCAGGACTGGTTTAAGTGTGGGAAGGGGCTTGGCTCTGGTTTAAGGCATCACTGGAGAGAGGGTTCAAGCCAAACTCAAATCCTGAGGGGCTGGGGGGGTTCTGCCTGACCTAACTAAGCCGTGTGCCAGCAAAGCTGAGCTTAGCCAAGGGTTTTAGTGAGGCAAAGGGCAAGAATTAACAGTAAATGATGGTCACAGGCTGCTCTGGGCTTGTGTTTTATCCAGAAAAGCAGGTCTGGAGGTGATCCCTCCGTGCTGACACCAAGTTTTCATCCTCTCCAAGTTGAACTGGGCCCATAAACCCAATTTTTAGTATCTTCTAAGATGTAAATCCTCTGCTTTGGCCTCTCCTGGTCCCTCCCTCAGGATGAGCAGCTCTGCTGATCTCAATCCCTGCCTTTGCTGTTGCTCCTGCTTTGGAAACCACAAAACCACACCAACCCTCCCAGCAAGGAGCTGCACATCCTTGCAAAGCTCATTTTCTCTGAGGTAAAATGTGAGATAATAAAGATTTATATGGAAGTGGCCACAACTTTTAGCACAGAGAGAGAGACTTCGAGATGAGAATCTTCCCCTGAAAACTTGTAATAAAAAGGGGAATAATAATTCAAGGGAAGAAGTAGAGGGGAAAAAAGTTGTAAAAAGGGAGGGAGGTTATTTGATAAGAGTCTGAACCTCGGTGGTTTGGAGATACAGGAACATTCCCATAAATAAATCCAATTTATCTGGAGGTTTGTGGTCCAAGGCTCCTCAAGGGTGACTCCAACAAGGACTTTCTGCACCCATTTATCATCCAGAGGTCTGAATTCCAGCCTCCTTTTGGGTGGTTAGAGTAAAACTTGGAAAATATTCTGATCTTGCTTAGAATTGGGCAGGACCTGAGACCTTCAGAGGGTTCTCAGCCTGATTGATGAGCTCAGCTCAGCAAGGCTGGCTCCAAAGGCAAGGGCAGGTATTTCATCCAAGACAGGAGAGCTCAGAGGGCCTTAAATTCCAACCACATCAAAGAGGAAGGAGCTTCAAATCTCCTTTTCTTCAAAGAGAAACATAAGACTCCCAGATTTATGATGCTTCATAATGAAAGCAGAGAAACTGGGCTGAGGGGAGAATGCAACGTTCACCTGACAGAGCTTTGCTGGGAAAGCTCCTGAGCCAACCCAGGAGACACAAAATCCCTGAAATTCTCCTCCTGCACCTCAAGTTTTGAGGGTTTTCCACTTTTTTTTTCCCCCATTTATCAAATGCTTCGAGCCAAGTGGTCCCTCCACAGCGACTCAAATAATGGATAAACCAAATATCCTCAAAATATGAGCAAAACCACATCCCCCAAATACCCAGATGTGGCACTTGGGGCCGTGGTTTAGGGTGGGCTTGGCAGTGCTGGGTTGGACTTAGACAGGACTTAAAGAGTTGTTGATCCTCAGGGGTCCCTTCCACCTCTGAATATTCTGTGATTTGGTGACTTGGAGGATCTTAGGGGGCTTTTCCAACCTAAATGGTTCTGTGGAGGTCACCTCTTCTCCCAGAAAATCTCCAGTTTTCCCATGGGAACAAGGGCTTGGCCAGGTCCTGGTGACACCTGAGTCAGGAGACCCACCCAAGGTGCCCCTCTAAGGGTCTCTGAAGCAGCTTCAGCACAGGTTATTTTACCCCTTCACCTCCCTCTGAGCAGGTTGGGGAAGATCCAAAAAAAGATCCAAAAGATCCAAAAAAGCTCCCAGGCTTTAGGTCCCAATTTCCCATCCAAACATGGGAATATAAATACCCTGGAGTGGCTCGTTCTGCCATGAGGATCAGGAGATGCTCTTTGCTGCTCCACAGACGTCAGAAGGACTCGCCAAAAACCCCCTGGGGGAGCAGAAGTGCCCAAAAAACCCACCCTGCAAACCCAACCAGGTCAAGATATTCCAAGCAAAGCAGCCAAGGGCTGGGAATAAACTCTAAAAGCACAGTGAAAAGGAAAGTTTGTGCTTCAGGGGTGAGTGGAGTCAAGAATTCCTTGGAAAATCCACCCTCAGACCCCCCTGGGGCGACTCCCCCTCCAACCAAACCTTCTGTTGCACAAAATCCAGGATGTTCTTGAAGTCCAGGTCATCGTAGTAGTGCCTGATGCCCTCCTGGATGTTGGAGTGGAAAACCTCGTTCATCTGGGGACAGAAATCCCAAAAATACGACTCACGGATGGAAACTGTTGCAAAACACCAAGTTTTTCAGAGCTGTTGCTGGAGGAGAAACTTAATCCTGGAACAGCCCATTTTTGGGGGGCAAACTCCATCATTTTTGAGCTCTCTGGGTTAGAGCTCCCATGGAATCTCTCCTTTCCCTGCACATCCAAGCAGACCCACCCAACTTTCTCAACATTTTATTATTTCCCATCATTTTTCCCATTATTTTTCCATTATTTCTTAATTATTTACCTATTTTTTATAATTGATTTTTCCTTATTATTTTTTAAATTACCTTTTCCTTTTTATTGATTTTTCCTTATTATTGATTTTTCTATTACTGATTTTTTCTTGTTAATTTTTTCTTATTAATTTTTCCTTTTTATTGAGTTTTTCCTTTTTATCAATTTTTTATTATTGATTTTTCTTATTATTGATTTTTAGTATTTATTTTTTCCTTTTTATTGATTTTTTGCATATTGCTGATTTTTTCCTATAATTGACTTTTACTTATTATTAATTTTATTACTGATTTTTCCTTTTTATTTTTCCTTATTAATTTTTTATGATTGATTTTTCCTTTTTATTGCGTTTTTCCTTTTTACTGATTTTTTATTATTGATTTTAGTATTTATTTTTTCCTCTTATTGATTTTTTCCTTATCATTGATTTTTAGTATTTCTTTTTTCCTTTTTATTGATTTTTTTCTTATTGCTGTTTTTTTCCTATTATTGATTTTTTCTTTACTATTGATTTTTTATTATTTATTTTTCTTTTTTATTGATTTTTTCCTTAATATTTTTATTATTGATTTTTTCCTTTTTATTCATTTTTTATTATTGATTTTTCCTTATTACTGATTTTTTTGCTATTGATTTTTTCCTTATTATTGATTTCTTTATTATTGATTTTTCCTATTGATTTTTTTCCCCTTATTATTGATTGTTTTTCCTTATTCTTGATTTTTTTCCTTCCAATTAAAGCAATTTCTCTGGAAAGCTCCTTCAAGCCCTTCAATCCCATGGGATTTTAACCACTGGAAGGAGGTGAAATGGGAGGTGATTTATCCATGAGATGAATTCCAGGAGGGAGTCAAGAGCTCATCAGAACCCTCAATCATTCCCTAATCCCAACAAATCAGCAATAATTGAACTAAAAATTCATTTTCCAGGTGCCTGGGAAGGTTCTCATTGAGCTGGAACAGAGCTGGGAATGTCCTGGGAAGAGTCTTTGACTCCTCACAATCCACCAGGAATATCAATGAGGGAAAAAAGAACTTTATTCTGAGTTACAAACGGGTGAAAGAGGGGGGAGGAAACGTTGCTGTGCATAAATTAACTCTGACAGGAAAATTAGAGGTTGGGAAAAGCAGGGACAGAAGAAGGTGGAAAAAAGAGGACTGAAGACACCTCGGAGCAAAGAAAACCCAGCAAGTGGGGCTCAAACAGCCTCCCAGGGACTGCTCAGGTGAGAGTTTATTGAGATTCTAATTCCTGGTTTGCTCCCCATTAACAACACAACAGAAAACACCCAGTTTTTACCCTTTTCCTGCTTGTTTTTTCCCCAGAAAGGCTCATCCCAAGATCCTCCCATCCCCCAGGAAACATCCCTAATTAAATCTTGGTTTAAGGTGGGACATAAATGTCACAGGGTTAATTCAGTCCTGCTTATAAGACCCCTCCAATCCCGTTAATCTCCAAGCCCCATTTGCATCTCCACAATATTTCAATATTCAGTAGCTTCAAGGCCACTAAATTAAGTCCTCCTTGCAGCTTATTTAACCCAAAATCCAATTCAATATGGTTTTAAGGAGTTTAATAAACAACCATTGTTCCAAATGCAATTTTGCGCCTCCAACCAATTTTAGGCCAAGTGGATTCATCACTTGTCAGACCCTTCTTTTCTCCTTCCCCCACCGTTTGATTTTTAATTAGGTTTTGATATCGCCCGTTAAATTTAAATTAAGGGACAATTTAGGCCTTAATGGATTCTGCTCAATCCAGGAGTTTCATCAGGAGGATTCAATCCCTTCTCCTGACGGCCCCCCCTTTCTCCCTGGCATTCCTGCAGTGCAGGATGGTGCTGGGCACCAATCCTGAGCTCAGATTTGGAACAAAGCAGAGCATTTAATGCTGAATTTCACAAAAAAAACCAGTGTGCAAGTGGCAGCACTTTTGATTTTCTGTTTGTCGTCTCAAGCAATTTGATTTTCCTTGGAGTAGCACTGAGGATTCAGGGATCAGAGGGGTTTGGAGAGCTCTTGGGAGCTGCTGGATGGAGTTGGTTACAGCACCCCAGAGGCAAAATCCTCCCCCACCACCTCCCTTCAACCTTGGGGCTCAGAAATCCCAAATCCCAGTTCCTGGGCTGATCCCACAGCCTGGGCAGCAGGGCAGGGAGGGATTCTGCCCCCTCAGGTGAGACCCCACCTGCTGCTCCAGCCCTGGAATCCCCAACATCAGAAGGATTTGGAGCTGCTGGAGAGAGTCCAGAGGAGGCCACGGAGCTGCTCCAAGGGCTGGAGCCCCTCAGCTCTGGAGCCAGGCTGGGAGAGCTGGGGGGGTTCAGCTGGCGAAGGCTCCAGGGAGAGCTGGGAGCCCCTTCCAGGGCCTGAAGGGGCTCCAAGAGCTGGAGAGGGACTTGGGACAAGGGATGGAGGGACAGGACAAGGGGGAATGGCTTCCCACTGCCAGAGGGCAGGGCTAGATGGGATATTGGGAAGGAATTGTTGGCTGTGAGGGTGGGGAGGGGCTGGGATGGAATTCCCAGAGAAGCTGTGGCTGCCCCTGGATCCCTGGGAGTGTACAAGGCCAGATTGGAGCAACCTGGTTTAGTGGAAGGTGTCCCTGCCCATGGCAGGGGGTGGCACTGGATGATCTCCAAGGTCCCTTCCCACCCAAACCATTCCATGTTCTTGCCCATCTCTGGCAGCTCCAGCTCCGTCCCAGCAGCAGCACTGGGGGTCTCAGACCCTCCTCAGCTCCAGCCCAGAGGCAGCTGAAAGACTTGGGATTAACCTGTCACTGGAATGGATTTAAATGCCAGGGAGTGGGGGGAGATGGGATTTTGGGAAGGGATTCTTCCCTGTGAGGGTGGGGAGTGGCTGGGATGGAGTTCCCAGAGAAGCTGTGGCTGCTCCACCCCTGGGAGTGTCCAAGGTCAGGTTGGAGCAACCTGGGCTAGTAGAAGGTGTCCCTGCCCAAGGCAGGGGGTGGCACTGGATGGGCTTTAAGGGCCCTGCCCCCCCAAACCCTTCTGGAACTCTGGGATGGGTTTGAAATCACTGAGCTGTTTGTCCATCAGGGAATTGATTTTCAGAGCCTGGAATCAGAAATCCCGGAGGATTTTCCCCTCCCTTATTCATTCCCTGAGCCAGCAGAGATTGATATTGGCTGTTCAATCACTTGATCGATCGCAGGGCTGAGATTAAATTGGGACCAGCAGAGTTTCTGCAGCAGGAGGTGGAGGGTGGCCAGAAAGGGCATCACTGGAAGCATTTCTGGTCCAGCAGGCTCAGCTCTGACTCACACCCATCCTTGGGACTGCAGCCAGAAGCTCACCTAATTAACGAGGGGAGCTTAATGAGTCCTCAAGAGAAAAAACCCCACAGGTTTTTGGCTGAGACTCTGTGGCTCCATCAGGGGCTCTGGGTGGTGCTGGAGATCCACCACAGCTTTGGAGCACCAGGAGCAGCCCCAGCAGAGCAGTGAAAACCTTCCTTTTCCAGGAATCACAGATAATTGAGGGTTTTCCTCCCTGATGACAGAGTTTGTCACCACTCAAAGGCCTCCTGGCTGCACCCACCTTGTTCTCAAAGATGATTTCGATGAACAGCAGCAGCAGCTCCGTGAGGAAGATCACCAGGAGGACCCAGAAGAACTGAAAGGAGGAAAGGAAGGATTAGCCCAGCTCTGTGTCCAGATGTGCCATCAGGAGACCTGAGAGTTGCTCTGAAACAGTTGGAAATCAGATCATTTCATTATCTGCTCTCCAGGGACCTGCAAATCTCCTTCAAAGATCTCAGTCCTAACAAGAAAAGATGTTTGTTCCCTTCAAGAAAGCGAGGAAGGAAGGGTGGAAGAAGCCAGGTGGCCAAATTCCGTGTGGGAAAACAGGGCAAATGGAAGCAGCAGGAGCAAATGTTATCCCTGGGAAGGTCCAGGTGTGTGGTGGGATGGCTGGACATGAAGCTTCCAAGCTGCACATCCAGTGGAGGATCACACATCCCACAGAATCCAGGCAATAACTCCTGTGGCAACAAATTTAGGCTGGGAATCAACATCCTGGTGGGGAAAATGACTTAAACCAGGAGGTTTGATGTTCTTGCAGCCCTCACAAATCAGTCTCCTTTGGTCCCTCTCTGAGAGGTCCCATCCAGCTTCAAATCCCACTTTGGAGGAGTGAAAACAAAGCCCTGCTCAGCTCCCACTTGTCTCCCCAAGGTTCCTTCCCCCAGCTCTTCTTCACCCAAAAAAACCCCTGAATGGAGCATCCAAACCCTCCTGGACAGAGCAGAAAGTGTCCCTTTTTTTGCTTTCCCAAGGATTGCAGGAATTGCAATTTTGGAGCCTCACCAGGAAAAGGAAGGTGGACAGTTACCATGGCAACCAGCTAAAACCCCAAAAACCAGTTAAAGAAAAAAGGGGGGATGGGGTGAGGGGGAGAGAGAATTTATTACCACAATATTAACTCAGACTGTTGGTTTATTAGAGTTCACAAAGTCAGGGAGCCAAAATTTAACCTCCAAAGCTCAGCAAAACCAAAATGCTGCTGCAGCAAAAGAACATTTCATGCCCCAAACCCCAAATCATTGGGGTTTTAATGACCCACCCACTGATGAGTCCTCGGAGCCACCAGACAGGTCCCACTGGAGGAGCAGCTCCACCTCCATCCCCACCAAAATCAGCTCCCAACAGGCAAGGGAACCTCTAATTAAGGAGATAATAGGTGTTATCTCAGTGGCATTTAGGTGTTATCCTATTAAATGCATTTAAACTCCTATTAAATGGGGTTTTTGGGGGCAGCCCAAGGCTCTGGGGTTACACAAACCAGGGCTCTGGATCCCCCAGTGCTGCAGCAAGAGAGACAAATTCCATTTGGGAAATATTTTTGTCCTTCAATCTTTGAACCCAAGCAAATAATTAAATCTGAGTGTTTTGTGCTGGTTTTCCCAGGAAAATTCCAGCTTTTCCCAATCCCACTGTGACAAAGGATTGAGGCTGCAAACTCTGATGGGTTTGGTGTCAGACCAGAGCTCCAAGAAATGTCTAAAATCCAGCAGGATTTGGCCCACAGAGATTTTGGTCACTCCAAAGCTCCTCTGAAAGCACCAACCCTGCAACTTTTCAAAAAAAAAAATAAGGATTTTAACCCCAAAGATGCCTTGTGCAGTTCCTGGAGGGTTTTTCTCCCTTTGCCTGTTCAGATTCTGGCTCCCACTTTATCTCCTCCTTTAGGCTCAGTTCCTGCTGTGCAGCTTTGTCAAGTCAGGTGTAAAAGACCAGGTTTGTGACCTGCTCTGTGGGTACTGAAATCAAGGGAATATTTAATACCCAGCTTTGAGAGCTGATTTATCAACAGAGGTGGGCAGAACTCCAGGGGATGCTGGGTGGGATAATAATGATTTATTGTGGCTTTCGAATGCTCCATCATGACATTCACATGATGGAAAGGTAGGAAAACTCACCTTTTCCAAAAGAAAAAGCCCAAAAAAGAGCTTAACTCATGGTCCTTGTAAAACCTTCTAAAAGGCTGATGTTAATTGGGAAGAAAGACTGGAATTCCTCACAAAAGGGAGACAGAAAATGTGGGGTGTCACATAAATTATTCCCAGTTCCCCTTGGACAGCCCACGATTTGTAACCTCACCTTCAGAAATCCACATAATTATAATGAAATATTCACATAATAATATATAATATAATATTACAATATATTGCTAGAACAATATTATTGTAGTAATATATAATGTAATAAAAAATATAATAAAGAATATATTATAGGAAGATATATTATATGTACATGTACATATATGTAATCTGTAATTTATTATTAATATATTATATAATACATAAGAATAACATAATGTATTATGTTAGTCTCATATATAATATATATCATATATATATTATATAGTTAGTCTCATATATAATATATATCATGTTATTCTTATATATATATAGGATATATAATATATATTATGTTAGTCTCTTACATATTATATATATTAGTCTGTTATATATCATATATAATATATATCATATTATTCTTATATATATATAGGATATATAATATATATTATGTTAGTCTCTTACACATTATATATATGTTAGTCTCTTCTATATCATATAAAATATATATCATGTTATTCTCATATATATATATAGAATATATAATATATATTATATTAGTCTCATATATTATATAATATATTAATAATAAATTATCATGTTACATATACCAGAATAATACATCTTAATATAACACATTCTTTATTCTATTTTATTTATTACATTGTTATATTGTGTATTATAATACAATATCCACATACTTATAATTCAGAGAGGAATTGCAAGCAAAGCAGCCCCAAATCCAGGTCTCCAGCACAAGCCTAAAAATGGTGAAGTCTGAGTCAAATCCAGCTTTTCTTCACCAAAAAATCCTCCAAGTGGAGCATCCAAACAGAGTGGAAAGGGGATTTTTTTTGCATTCTGAAGGATTGCAGCAGCCACACTCCCTGCAGTGCACATTTGGGAATGGAACTCTTGGCAACATCCCTGATAATATTCCCTTTTCTCTGGACACTGCAGCCCTTGGTGTTTGCCAGGGCCAAAAAAATCAGCATTTTTTATCTTAAACAGCCTCCAGCAGCAAAAGAAAGAGCAAAAACCCTCATTAAACAGCATTTCATCCTGCCCGGAGCTGCCCTAGGTTTGCAGCAAGTTGGGAATCATAAATCAACTAAAAAAATAATAATCAGGAGGAAAGATGATGTTCCCCCCCCCCAATTTTTGCACAAATTCACCCTTTCCATGGAAGTGGTGCCACTTGAGTGGGTGGCCTTGTCTCCATTTAGGGTTCACTTCTCCCATCCCTGAGAGGGGATGAGAAGGAGGGATTGGGAAGGTCCCTGAGGATTCCATCCCTAACAAAGCCCAAAACAAAGCCCAGATTTCAGGGAGAGAACTCCTCAACCAAACCTCGATCTCACCCAAGGTGCTGGATCAGCAAAAAGCTGCTTCATTCTTATTAAAATTAAAGCTCAATTCTTATTAAATTAACAGTGGACACAGCCAGGTCGATCTGAAGAGCTCATCAATCCAACATTCCTAACCAATTGTGCTGCTTGATTCCCACAAATCCCTTGGCAACGGATTGATCACCCCCATTCCCACCCCCATTCCCAGGAGCTGCAGAGCTCTGAGCTGCCCCTTCCCTCCTCTCATGAGTCTCCAGCAAGGTTTTGATCATCCTTAATCCCTCCTGTCCTGGTTAGAACAGCTGGGACCAGTTCATCACTGGATGGGTGTAACCCAAAACTGTGGATTCCAGAGCCTTCCAGGCCATTGCCCACAAACTGTTCTCAACAGACCATTGACACCCTCTGCCCAGAGCAGCCCTGAGCCCTCAGGCTGGAAACTGGGTGTTCAGAGGCCTGGGAGATAGGAGGGTGCTCCTGTCCTCACCCCCAGGGTGGAACTCCCCGCCCTGAGGGAGGGACTGGGCATTCCTGCCTCAACTGGAGGAGAGACAATCTTGGGGGCTTGGGACTTTTTGAACCACTCGTGGGATCCAGAGAAGGACTGAGCCCACCACTCTTGCCCAGACTGCACCAGCCTCTCACCAACAGGTTTTTTCCCTCTCCTTTTACTTTGGACTCAGGGGGCCCAAGGAACCCCACTCTGTTCCTGCCCCAGGGTGCTGGGTTATACATTTGGGGTTTGTGGGTTAAAATCAACTGTTTGTCTGTATAATCGTATTTATTGTATTATTTTATTATTTTATTAAATTGTTCTTCTGACTTATAATCTCTCCTTTGAGTTGGATTCATTTCCCCTGCTGGTTTACCTTTAACCCAGCACACCTCCCAAAGCCCAGCTGAGCAAAGCTGGGCTCTGCCTCAGGCTTCGAGACAGGTCTCCTTCAAATTTTGGGAATAAACTCCCCCATCAGGGTGATTTTCCATGCCCACTCTCCAGGCTGCCTGGAGTGATCCCTTCCCACGTGTGCTCTGCCTGGTGGGTTTCCTGCCACCTCCCTGCTCCAGAGAGGAATTTTTTGATGGCAAATTCCATCCCAGGAGCTTAAAAGCCACCTGGAATGCTGAGTTGGTCCCTCAGGTTTCACCTCCCAGAAGACAAAAACCACCTGGAATCCTGAGATGATCCCAAGGAAATGTTTCCAGCTGTCAGGGGTGAAAACCTGCTGCTGCTTCATTCCCAGAGGATGAGCAGCCCCCTCCAATTCCCGGTTGGAACACGTCCTGTCCAGCAGGAAGGATGAACAGGGATCAGGGATGGATGGGAGCAATGAGGGGTGAACAAACCATGCTGGGATTTATTCAGGAATCAGCCCAGGAAAGGAGATTGAAGCCTCAGTCCTGAGCTCAGGGACACTGGAGACACCCCGTGCCAAGTGTGACTCCAATGGGATTTCGGGTGGGAGAAGGATGAGCTGTTTGCCAGAAAACAGGCAGGAAAGAAGCAGATTTAAGGTGAAAAAGGGCAGATTTGTTGGATATTGGGAAGGAATTCCTCCCTGTGAGGGTGGGGAGGGGCTGGGATGGAATTCCCAGAGAAGCTGTGGCTGCCCAATCCCTGGAAGTGTCCAAGGCCAGGTTGGAGCAACCTGGGCTAGTGGAAGGTGTCCCTGCCCATGGGA